CACTTCTCCTTTCCACCCACTTTCTTTCCCTCCCCAGCTCATATTTCCAAACCCCTCTTATCCCTTAGCTCATCCTTGCCAGCAACACAAGCACCCCACCCCACCCCAGTCAGTCTTGGTGCACCCTCACCCACTGGATTCACCATTGGATTATTGATCCCTCCGAGAGCTCATGGATAAACAATGCTCCAAATCTTATACCCCGGAGTATTCATGTTTGGTAGGCCTCATTGGACTGAACTGGACTGGGTTAAATAGCACTTGAAACTCATGTTTAGTAAGAGAGATGACTAACTTAAATGGGATTGTAGAGTCCAGTAGTTAAAAAAACGCCTTACTCGCTCTTCCAATTTAGTGAGGCTGAAACATGCTTTGCAAAATAGCGAGGTCGCTAAATAGAACACGCAAGTCCTCCAACGCAAGTTGCGAAAAGCACTATGTGGTTTGAAACAGTCACCACGTGTATGCATATGGTTCGGACGATTCACATTGGCAATGAGGAATTATGGGTTTAAGCAGAGCAATTCATATCATACTCTGTTCTTAAAACATTAAGAAATGTAACAAATTTAATAATCTATGTTGATGATATGATTATTACTGGGAATGATGAACAGGAAATATCTCAGTTGCAAGACTATTTAGCTATTGAATTTGAGATGAAGAATCTAGGTGGACTCAAGTATTTCTTGGGGATTGAGGTGGCCCGATCAAAGTAAGTCATATTTCTATCTCAAAGGAAATATGTCTTGGACTTATTGACAGGCACAGGAATACTATATATATTGCAAACCTGTAGACACTCCTATTATTCATAATCACCATCTTGGAGAATATCTGGATCAAGTTCCAACTAATAAGGAAAGATACCAAAGGTTAGTGGGAAGTTTGATCTATTTGTCACATACTCTACTAGACATCGCTTAAGCAGTAAGCTTAGTCAGTCAATTTAAGCATTTTCCAAGTGAAGATCACATGAATCCAGTTCTCCGAATACTTAGATATTTGAAGTCTGCACCTTGCAAAGGACTTATGTTCTTAAAACATGGTCATATGAATAGTGATGGTTACATAGATGCAAATTGGGCAAGGAGTGTAACAAATAGAAGATCTACTTCTGGTTAATTTACATTCGTGGGAGGTAATTTAGTGATGTGGAGGAGCAAGAAACAGCAGGTAGTAGCTCTATCTAGTGCAAACTCCTTTGGCTACATAGGTTGCTTACTGAACTTAGGTGTCGACCTATGTCTGCAATGAATCTCTTTGTGACAATAAGGCTACAATAGTTATTGCACATAATCCAGTTCAACATGATCACACCAAACATGTTGAGGTGGATCGATACTATATTAAAGAGTAGCTTGAAGCTAAAGTGATTCAATTTTCATTCGTAAAATCTAAGGATCAATTGACGGATATTTTGACAAAGGCAATTTCCAGTAGAGCGTTCCACAACTCACTAGACCAGTTGGGCATTGGCGATATCTATGCACCAACTTAAGGGGGAATGCTGGCGTGACTTGTGAACCCACAGTTACTTTCCTTACACGCCAAGAATTCCTATATTAAGTGTAATTGATTTACTTTAATTCATGATTTCCTACTATAAAAATAATTAGGAGTTATTACTTTCCTTGAACTATAAGGGTTTATTGTATTATAAATACACCCTCCTATGAGGAGAAGAATACACCGAAAATTCCCACAAACAATATTCTCTTATACATCTCATATTTTAGCACTTTTGCCATCAACTCATTTATTTTAATTTCTTCATAATGCTAGTGCGGTGCAGATAATGAATTAGACCATCAAAGAAATTTGATTAGTCATTTTAAGCTTAGATTGCATGATGGTGATAGTTTTGATGCTCACACTAAACACTGTCAATAGATTCCAATTATTAAAATATCATAATAGACATTACAACCACTAAGTAGTACTTGAGGAGAAAAGAGAAAAGAGAAAAGAGAAAGAGAAAATGGGTTTTACTTGAGGAAAAAGTCGGCCAGTTATTTTTCTTTTTCTTTTTTGTCAAAGAGAGAAATGGGATGGGCAGAGCTCAACAGTCACAAACATGAGCAAACTGAAATGATAAATAATACTAGACAAGAAAAGAAGCCAAGCGTTTGATCATTTTCTTAACATTCTCCGTCTCAGTCTCACTGAAGATATGAAAGCAATGGTCCTCTCCTTCCACTTCAAACAGCTCCACTTCTCCTTTCCACCCACTTTCCCTCACCAAATCACAATACCAAACACCTCGCTCCCTCAGCTGATCCTTGCCTGCAACACACACAAGCAGCTTAGAGCACCCGAGTCCAGCCAGGCTCAGGGCATCCTCACCCGCTGGATTCACCATTGGATTATCAATCCCTCCAGGAGCTGATGGATAAACAAAGTCCCAAAGTTTATACTCCATAGTCTTCTTAAAGTCTTCACCTTTAGGCTCTGACCCAATTGGCTTGGAACCCCAAAAATAAGAGTGGGACACAAATGCACCCAAAATTTTCACAGCACCAAACAAGCTCTCAGCCCCTACCTTCATAGCCAAGTTATGTGCAATATTGCCACCTGCACTATCACCACCAATGTACAATCTATCAAAATCTCCATAGTTGAGTAACCATGGTTCTTTGTTATCATCTAATTCTTCGTTGTTTGCGTGAGAAGTGACCCATTGAAGCGCAACCCAGCAATCTTCATAAGCAATAGGAAGTGGGTTCTCTGGGGCAAGTCTGTACTCAACAGAGACAGCTATAACTTGGGCTTCTGAGACCAAGCGGTTGAGATAACGGTGGTGAAGGAACGAGAAGGCAGATTCAATGCAAAATGCTCCACCATGGAAGTAAACCAAGATGGGTAGCTTTTGGGTTTGGTTTTGAGGGACATTTGGGAGGTAAAGTCGAGCCGAGATGTTGGGGTTGTGTGAAAAAGTGAAGTCTTTAGAGGAGACTCTGGTTTGTGGGTCATGAGGAGAAGGGGGCACATAGGGAGAGCCCAGAAGGCGTTCCACTGTGCCATCTTTGTAGATTCTGATGCGAGGAAGGAATTCGGAGGCTATTTCTTTTGCGGTGGTGGTGGCGATGTTGGTGGAAGTCATTGGAGGGCAGAGATATAAAATAAGTAATGAATTGAAAGGGTGAAGCTTGAGGGTTAATGATGTGACCTTTAAATGGAGGGAGGGTTTGCCATTAATTCATTAAAAAAAGGAAAATGCTAGGGAGATCAACTTGTGTACCAACTCTCTAATAGAGCGTGGGACCCATTGTATTGGTGGGTACCACCTCTATTAGAAAGTTGGTACACAAGTTAGTATTCCAAGTTCATCTTCTTAGCATGACCTTTAAAAAAAACAAATAAAGTGAGGTGCCGTGTTTTACACTGCAACAAAAGTAGCCGCCATAGTCTTCCATTGGTTAAAAAATGTTAGCTCTCTGGCCTATTCTTGGTTTTTTCGTTTGTTTGGTGTTTTCGGTGTTTTTGCTTCTTATTCTTGGTTTTTTGGTTTGGTGTGTCTGTCCTGTTTGTTTGGTTGGATTTGGCTCCCCTTTGGGCCTTTGCCGTTTGGCTTTATGATTGTTGACAAAAAAAAACAAAAAAAAAAATCCGTTTTGCTTTTGAATTTTCGCTTTGAAAGCGAAAATTCTAGGTACTGCCCTTTCGGTTCCAAATTATTCAATATCTTACCCTAGCAGACGTTACTTGAGGCAGCCATTAAACTCAAGTTGAAATAAAGAAAATGGGTTTTACTTGAGGAGAAAGTCAGACACTTGTTTTGTCAAATCCTTAGCTTTCTGAGTCTCAGCTTTGACAATATGAAATGCATGATCTTCTCCTTCCACTTCAACTCAATATCTTACCCTAGCAGACATTACTTGAGGCAGCCATTAAACTCAAGTTGAAATAAAGAAAATGGGTTTTGCTTGAGGAGAAAGTCACACTTGTTTTGTCAAATCCTTAGCTTTCTGAGTCTCAGCTTTGACAATATGAAATGCATGATCTTCTCCTTCCACTTCAACCACCTCTGCTTCTCCTTCCCACCCACTTTCCTTCACTGCTTCATAGTAACCAAGGCCTCTATTTGTCAGCCCATCATTCTCAGAAACACTCACAACAACAAAGAACACCCAAGCCCTGCCAAGCTTGGTGCTTCAAACCACCAGGCAAGCCCTCTTTCCCAACTGTCATAGCAATCTTATGAGCAATGTTGGCTCCTGCATTGTCACCACCCAGAAAAAAACCGATCCACATTGCCGCGATTAGCAGCCACGGCTCATCAGCCATGGCATTTTCAGTAAAATGTGAGGCAACCCATTGGAGACCAGCCCAGCTGTCCTCCTTGGCAACGGAGCCATCCTGTACTCTACTGACATAGCAACTTTGGCTTGGGAGACCAAGCTGTTAAGATAGCGGTGGTGATCTAAAGAGAAGGCGGATTCGATGCAGAAACTTCCACCATGGTAGTAGACCAAGATGGGGAATTTTTCCTGGGGTTCATCAAGTTATGGGAGAAAGACTCTGGCTGAGATCAATGTCTTTTGAGGACACTTGTTTCTGAGTCATCAAGCGATGGGACAGTGTATTCAGAGCCTAATAGGCGTTCAACAGAGCCATCCTTGTACACTCAGATAAATGGGAGAAGATCCGTCTGCCTCCTTGGCATGGAATACATGGTGAAGGTGCTGGTTTTTTTTTTTTTTTCATGAAAGAGGGCTCTAAAAGAAAAAGAGGCAATACCCAATTGGCAATGGCATTTTTCTATATACCTTTTTGGTTTTTATGACTAACCAAATTTGGGTAAACCAGTAGGGTTTAAGTTTGACACGAGAGGTAATTTCCTTGATTCAATGGCTAATAAACTTATGATATTTTTCTAGATTTAAATTTGAGAAGCCACGCAATGCCATTCAAAAAAATAAATAAATAATAAAGAAATAGTCACCCTTGAAAGGCAACAAGATCAAAGCACAAATCATGTTTATGCACAATTGTATCTCTTACTAAATACTATCTCATTAAAGAGCAAAAACTTGGGGGAATACCAAGAGAAAATGTAGGTGAAGGTCACATTCCAAGCAATGTCGGAATTGTGTTACAAATGAGGCTGCGTGTTTACAAGTAATGGAATCAGAATGGACTATAAGCAAACTAAAATCAAAGAATTAGAAACTTCCACTGGCTCAACAACAGCACGAACATCTACTACCGGTCTCTGTACAAGAGGGTGTTAGAACTCAAGAATCAAAGGCGGCAATTTATAGCCGCAAATTATGTGGGTTAGGCTTAGTAAGCGCTTTAGTAAAGTAAGTGCAGATCTCGGGTATTATACGCATGATCAAATGAGAGTGCCTGCAGTGTTCCAGCATAGAGAGAATTTCAGTAGGTGAAAGAAATAGCAAAATGAAAAAAAAACCAACTCTTCCTCATCAAAATAAGAAAAACGATGATACCCTTTCGCTAAGGAAAACAAGACTAAATCTAGGAACTCATGTGACTATACATAATATGATCTTTTTCAACCAGTCCATTCATAGAATATACGAACACAGTAAGCTTAGCAAAGATCCAACTGATATTGTAACACAAAAAATTATCTGAGTTATATTAAGTAATATGAACTTCAGATAACTTAAGAGCATGAAAGTATTTATTTATCGTAAGAGTAACTGGGAATCTCCATAAGTTTCATTTCAGGTCCATTTATTAGAAGAATGATATAACAGAAAGTACTCAGTAATTTTAGTAAGTAACACCATCAGCACAAGCTAGCTAATATTTTCCGTTAAAATACATGGTGTAACTCCCAATGCATTGCAAACTTTCCTGCATATCTTTTTTAAGGAAAAAGAAGAAATCCATCTTAATCTGCATGGGAAGAGATAATTTTGGATAAGAACCAAAGGTTGGAAGAAGCACATACCCTGGTCTGGCACTCAATTTTTCAAACTGCTCCAAAATAAACAAAATGCATGTGTGCCTTAATGACATTGCATGGAAGGCTTCTGAAAGTTCATACATGTTTGAAACATTCTCCAATGATACGTCCTATGTCAAAAAAGTAGAATAGTAATTAGGCAGCCGCCTTTTTCAATTCAGAGCAGTACATGAACACAGAGAGAGTGTGTGTCAGGTCACCTGTGCTATTGTATACTCACAAAGCCGCTTCAGTCCCTCCAGAAGATACTGATCTGCAGCTCTGAGGAGATCTTGAGCAATATCAAGAGTAATGTCCACTGATCCAGTGTATATAAATCTGTGCACGATCAAAAGTCTCTGAATTATCAAAGCTCACCAGAAAGCTTTCATGAAACAGGAAACACACAACCTTCACTTTACCTCATCATCAACTCGAAAACCTCCCATCTAATATTTGGTATCTCTATGTCCCTTGCATCCTTCTCCTGTAATAGGTTAACTGGAAATTATAAAGATATTGTACACTATCGAACATGAAGACAATTTCTACTCTGTTACATGCACTTCAGTGTTTATTTGTAGGTAAATAGTGATCCAGTATGAAATCACTATATGCAGATACCCACCCGGTAACCACCATCAAACATTGCACGAAATGCATCTGAAGAAGCAAGCAAGCAAATTCTGTGAGCATAGAACCGTTTACCTGCAGTTGGTGAGTGAAAAATCAAACATTTAAGGTCTTTTATGCTAAGAGTACAATCAATCATGCTAATTGAATGTTCCTCTATGACAGCTAAGTAGGAAGAACTTAAATGAAAATAAATAGATATAAACCTTCAACTAAAAATATAACATCGGACAGTGTGGGATTGTTTACATACTGCTCCCCTAGATAGACCTGCACAAATATTTATCCACCATCATAGGCAATTCATACTAAATACAAATATTTATCCACCATCATAGGCAATTCATACTAAATACATACTTTAATGCTTAAGATGACAGTAGTTTCAGAAAAAAAAAGTATTATGCCACCATATTGACATTATATTATGTCCAAAACATAAGGATTCAATATATACACATGTATACATATATAATGACCACAAGCATGAAAAAGCCTTCTGCTATTGAAAAACACCCTACCTGTGGTGTCGGAGATGGGGGAGCTGCATCCACAGGAGAAAGAGTCATGGCTTTGTTGGCCAACTTATACAAAGCCATAGCAGCATCAAGTTGCTGTTTATGGGTAGTAGAGCCAAGAAGCCCAAGAAGCAACTCCAGCCCTGCTTAATAATATTGTATAATCAGCAAACTCGAAACCAACATAAATATATCAACAATATAAGTTTCTATGCAAAAAAAAACACCATGAAAAGTATGATTTAAATACAGAGGATGTGACATGCCATTGTTGTCAATGAATATTGTTCTCAGATCATCTGGGGAACAAAGATGAGCAAAAGCCAAAGCAACTCGTTTCTGGACAACCCTCTCTGCTACACGCATCAAATATAACAAATGGGACAAAACCTACATTAAGAAAATTAAGGAATTACAATCTCAGATGTTTTTAGCATAAAATTCACATAAACATAATGCCATAAGCGTACCAACAGCTAGAAATTACAACAGTCAAAAATTAAAAAGAAAAAGTAATAAGCATGAGCTCACTCGTCCATGAATCTTCTCCTCTAATCTTTTCAATGTTTTGGTCACACAATCCTTTGTCGCCTGAAAATACAATTTGTTATGTAGCCAAGAGAGAAGAAAAATTGAAAACAATTGGAAAACATCTCTTATAGTTACTAAATTAATTAAGGAATCATATTATCAAACTATGACATTTAGAAACATACTGTATTTAGAGGAACTACAAATATAGCTAACCCAGAGAGAGAGAGAGAGAGAGAGAGAGAAATACTTGAAAAATAAATTCTCCATCCTGCAGCTTCTGAACACCTCCAACCCTAATAAAATCGGACACATTATCCTAGAGGAGAAAATGAATAAACAAAATAACATCACATTAAAATGGTGTTCAATGTCTACCTGTTGACCAATTTATAGCATTCAGCCCACAATTTCATGAAAATTCATTAATTGTACCATACCTCATTATCTGCAAGGCCATAAAGAGTAAATGCAGCATTATGTTGCAGAGACCCATTTTTCGAATCAAGAAGCTTCAGCAATGGCAATAAACCACCATTATGAGCAATACCAGCTTGGTTGTTTGTGTCCTGAATTTGCAACAATTGATGCAATTATTGCCAAATCACACAGTACAAGACACAGAAAAACCAGTATTTCAATAATAAATCAAAATTATGGCATTGGATTGCACTATCAGGAACCCGAAAAACCAGTAACGGTATTAGTGAATAGAAGAAATTCCTCAAAAATTTAATTCTAGAACTCCTGCCGAACTGTACTAACATATATGACCCATAAATTCATCTTTATTTCCATCTATGGTTATGCTATGTCAATTATTTCCATCTTTATGTCAACTGCACAGTAGAATACATCCACTGGCATGAAGACAATAGCCCCACTCTGAACTTTTCAATTTAAACAAAGAAAAAACAACAAATGTGAAGAAATAATAACCTGTGCCAATCTCCCCAATGCAAAAGCTGACATCTCCCTTAGTTGTACATCAGGGGATTGAAGCATCTCAATCAAAGGTCGGACAGCACCCCTCTGTACAATGTGAACCTACGAAAAACTTACTATTTCAATGGAAGGGCAATGGAAAATTGGAAGGATCCAAAAGCAAATTAATACATAACCACAGAAAATTAAGAACGTGAAGATAATTATCCGCATCGAAGCAACAGGGCAAGAAAAAAGCACTACCTACAATGAGAAAGCAAACACTACAAGTCAAGGAACTATTTTTCAACACAGAGAGAGAATATTGATGACATTTTGTTTCCTAACATCTTTGTCATGCCAAGCGCAGAACAGAGGTGAAATTGTTGACTCAACTAATGGAAACATTTAGAAGGAGAGAAATATAACCCACCTTGCAATCTGAATCAGTTGCAGCAAATTGTCCAAGTAATAAAGCTGCCTCTCTTTGGCTCTCGGAGCAGCAAGAACTATAATTCAATAGAAGACTTGAGAAACTTCTTCACGTTATAAAATAGTGGACAGAGAATAACAACAACATAGTTGCATCATGTGACATGACACTATTGGGACGCACCTAAGCAATCCAATAACAGGTTGTAAAGCTCCCGCAAGAAGAACTTCTTTCTTTATGTTCGGAGATGAGTGTACCAGATTTCCAATAACACCAACCTGCATTACATAAAAAATAATCTGATGCTGCAGAAACATGAAGTGCGAAAACCTAAATCTGCACAGTATAAGCCCAGTAGTTCATTGTATATTTTAGTCTAATAAGAAGATCCTACCGCTTCATAATGTATAGCAGCATCCTCGGACCGAAGCATTAGAATGAGGGTAGGAAGAGCATTGCATTCGACAATCTGCAAAGTCGTAAATTGACAACATTTGTTTCATGTTCAAAACAAATTTTTTATAATAAATCATAACTTCACAAGAAAGGTCTATTACTTGATTCTTATTCTCATCATTTTTAAATGCCAGGGTTCGTAGTGCTCCAGCAGCTGCTCTTTGCACCTTGGTATCAGCAAATTCAAGCAACTCAACTAGAGGTGGAATTCCGCCTTCTATTCTGTATAAGCAGTCCTGATATCATTAGAATATTGTGTTGCTACAGTCAAATTTTAAAATTAGGGCACTTGAGAGACAAGCAAACCTGACACGTGTTTTAATGCTGCTGTTTTCATGAGCAAGGTTGGTGATGGCATCAGCAGCTCTACGAATGACGCTATACAAAGCCCTGGATACAGGACTATCCTTGTGCCTCTTTAACAAATCCACAAGATGAGCCAGCGCACCAGTGTCAACGATGAGTTGTTGATGCTCAGGCTGTTGACACATTAAAGAAACTGGTTTAGCAATTACATGTGGAGTTATTGTGATGCTGAATTAATACCATCCCAGAGTGTCTGCCACATAAATATTCATGCAACATAATAAAGGTGAAGATACTGGCTACACCAAGAATCAAAAGCAAGCAGACATAAAAGGGCATCAAGATGTTACACGTTTGGTATATTAGTATACTTCAAAACCAACACAAGATGGCAGAGTTTATGCGCTCGGGCACAATCATGCCACACCAACTTACTATAACATTTCGGCAAGTACAAAACAACAAAAAGGCCAGAGAAGCTAATTACAGTAAACCTTGCATATACCACAACCAAAAAGAAAATAACTTTTTGCCACAAGTTGCACGCTATTATGAAATCTCAGCCTCATGCTAATTTTTTCATTCAATTTTATACAAATTTTAAATTTTAGCAACTTCAGTTACTATCCAGCTAATACAAATTTCAATCCTTGAACCTCTGCAAGTAATTTACACACTCAATTATAAGATCACCAAAAAATAAAACACAAAATATATTCATGCAGAAATAGAAAGTTTAAAGTGGATTGAAATATTGAAAAACAGTAAGAGTAAAGTGACCTTAACTGCGAGAAGGCCTAGTGCAAAGGCACTTCCCTTCTCGACCTCGTGTTCGTACGGCTTCGAACTCCGGTCTCCTTCGCTTAAAGGCGGCGCTTGAAGATGCTTCACCAGAGCCGGAACCGCACCGCCTTCAACGATCACGTTCACTACCTCCTCTGCCCCAACACAAACACATAAAATCGTTTATTCCAAACAATACAAGAACCAACATAACGCTAGAAACTTGCAGAACTGAGAGCAAACTAGAAAAAACGGAAATTCGGACGAGATCGGAGGGTGTTTTTGGGATTTTGTGCAACCAACCGTTCTTAGCGAGCTCGGCGAGGACGTGCGTGGAGCGCTTAGCCGACGCTCGATCGGCTTCGCTCCAAGAGAACGTAGAGTTGAGGACCTTCACCTGCTCGCTGACCTCGCTGAGCAGCGCCTTTCTGGCTTCGCCGGACTTCACCGAGATCTCTCGTTCGTCTCCGATTTCCTCCTCCAGTTTCCGCTTTTGCCCCTTCCTCTCCGGGTGGTTCTGATCCTGGCGCCTCTGCAACTCCATCAACGAGGCCAAAAAAAAAAAAGCGAAGATGAGGAGAAGAAGCTGATCCGAAATGGAAAATTTTTGGATTTGAATAGGTGAGAGTGAAAGACAAAGACAAGAAAGAGAGTGCAGAGGGGCACTTTCGGAATTCCAAAAAAAATAACGAAAAAGAAGTAAAAGCTTTTTCTTTCCGTTTGTTCTTTTTTTTTTCCCTTTCTTTTCTTTTCCGGTGAAATGTGTCGGGTTTAAACCGGCCTCATGATTTCCGGTTCTGCTATCTATTTTTTTTCTTATTTTTTTTATTAATTTTGTTTTTTTCACTAGATTATTATTGATAATTAATTGATTAACGTGCGCTCCCGCTCTGAGAAAGTACACGAGGAGGACGGAGTACAGCTAACGTGCGCATGGTGTGTAGAGACGATGGGCCCGCGAGAATCTGGGGGTCCCTCCAATTGCACCGTAGAGTACAGCCGTCGTGCTTGCATGTAAAGTGGGGTCCTGACCTTGGGTGGCTGAGTCGGGTCGACCCGAGGGGGATGCTGGTCGGGTTAGAAATGGATCCGGAATTGAATCCTTGTGAAGGTGACGTGTGGGGGGGGAAAAGCTGACGGGGTCATGAATTTGGCACCAACCCGACCAACCAAACAACGGGCTCATCATCATCAAAAAGAGGAGGATGAAGGAGGAGGTGGATTTTACTTTGCACACACGTGCTGATTATGATGGGTTTTTGTGTTTTTTTTTCCCAACCTTCAACTGTGTTCACATGTCCAACAACCCTTTTTTTGCAGAAATGCGATTGGAGAGAGAGGTACACACAGTTTTCACACACAACGCACGCAGCCATGGGATTTTTAGAGAGAATCCAATGATGATTACATAATAAAATATAGGGTGAACATCAGCACAATCAATTTTCGGGCCCATTCTTAGTAGTGCCACTTCCACACTTTGCTTTGGGCTTACTCTAAAAGCAGCCTAGTTGATCAAACTGTTTTTCTTTTTACATATTTACTTATTTGGAATAGAAGACGTTATGAATTGGATGAATTAGGTTTAAATATGAGAATGAATGGGTATGAAATCAACTACATTTACCTAATGTTATCGTAATCAACTACGGTCACTAAATAGAATATTAGTACCTATAGGATAGGGATCATTATTCGGCCCATGACACATCAGCTGGATGGACCAAAACGTAACCAAACATGTAGCCACCTTCGCCCAAGGTAGCGCCTAGGTCAAGGGTTTGAAACCTAAACCCCACACACCTGTTTTAGCATGATTAGGCTCAGCCTGACCAGTCTAGGCTCCCCATTGAAATATACCATCTTTTAATATTAAGAACGTCGAACTTTGTATAGGAGACTAATTCATTTTAATTGAAATATTCATGTCGAATTACAAGGAAATTTTAAACACACACACTATTAATGTAACATTTCCCTTGGAGATGCTATTTGTGAAGTTAAAAATAAAATACAAAAACGGAACAAATATGGATTTAGCCAATATAGTTGACTTCAATGTCTCTTGATATCTTCCGCAAAGCTGTATATTTGTTTGAACTTTGACGAACTAAATTAGGTTTAGCCAATTGTTTTGTTCATCATTTGTGGTTTTGGATTGGAGCTTTTTATCCGTTTCGTTTTGCAGTTTACTGTTGGGCTTCATTTTTTAGTTGTCTCTTCTTCGCTGGCCTCACTTCTTGTTTTGTTCGTTACGTACCACAGTTTATTAGTTTTTCCTTTCTTTTCTGGTAACCTTTCACCGTGGACTGGGCCTTCCATTTCCATTTCTTTTTGACAAAATAAAAAGGACCAGTTACTAAGTGTACCCCACACACCCACCTACCCCACCCAAAATAATAAATTAATAAATTAATTTAGCAATTAACTACCAACTCTGACCAAGCCTTCGTTTTCCCGCGTTTACCCAACTAAAATACCTTTCCTCTTCCCCAACTCCACCTTCTCTCAACTCCCTCTCTCTCTCTCTCTCTCTCTCTCTCTCTCCTCCTCCTATTCCTTCCTTGCATAACTCACTCACCCAACTCAACCAAAACCAAAACACCAACTAATAACGCTTTCATTTTCTCCCCACACCCATCTTCCTTCTCTCTCTCTCCTCACCCCTCTCATGCCTATCCCCCCACCATGTCATTGCCCCTCCCCCTCCTCCTCCTCCTCTCCCTCCTTTCCATCCTCCCTCAATCTCTTTCCCTCCCCAAAGGTAAGCAAGCACTATTCATTTGAATTTTTTTTTTTAGTGTCACCTTGTAATATTTAATATTTAGTATCATTTTAGTTCTCAATTGATTTTGGGTTGGATGCAGGAACACTAATAAACTGCGGTGCGCTGGTCAAATCTCTGATCGACGGCCGCGAATGGCTCCCCGACACCGGCTTTGTCTCCGTTGGGACCCTGCGGAACCTGACAACCCCGGTCCTCGTCCCCACCCTCTCCACCGTCCGATCGTTCCCGAACAATCCCCACCGCAAGTACTGCTACACCGTGCAGGTCTACCGCAACGCCAGGTACATGGTCCGCACCACCTACTACTACTACGGAGGCCCCGACGACACCCCGCCGGTTTTCGACCTGATTGTAGACGGCACCCTCTGGGCCGTCGTTAACACCACAGAGGACTTCGCAAAAGGCACGTCGACTTACTACGAGGGGGTCTTCCTCGCTCAGGGCAAGACCATGAGCGTGTGTCTCGGGTCGAACAATTACACCGAATCCGACCCGTTTATCTCCGCCCTGGAGTTTGTGATTCTCGAAGACTCACTCTACAACTCCACGGATTTCAAGTCGTACGGCCTTGGCTTGGTTGCAAGGCACGGCTTTGGCTACACTGGACCAGTCATTCGGTATGTGCCTTTCTTCTTTCTTTGTTCAACTCGTAAATTCGTAAAGTCCTAGACTTGGAAGTCAAATTTGTGTGAGCTTAGAATCTGAAAATTGGGTCTTTTTCAGATATCCAGATGACAAATTCGATCGGTTTTGGGTGCCATTTGAAGGGCACAATCCCATCAATGTAAGCAACACCAATGTGTCTGTTTCTGACCTGTGGAACTTGCCCCCTTTGAAAGTTTTCCAGAGCGAATTGACGAACGGGCAAGCTGAAACTATGGAGTTGAATTGGCCTCCTGGGTCTGTTCGGGAATCGAACTACTACATTGCTCTGTACTTTTCTTTAGGGATGTTGGGGTCGAGGGTTTTCAACATCAGCATCAATGGTGTGCCATATTATAAGAATTTGGATGTGACCCCAGAAGGGCTTGTGGTCTATGCGCGCAAATGGCCTCTTTCTGGTGTTACAAGGATCACTTTGACTCCCTCTGCTGGGTCAAGTGGCGGTGCTCTGATTAATGCTGGCGAGGTGTTTGATGTGCTGCCTCTTGGAGGAACAACTTTAACTCGAGACGGTATGCTTATCTTTGATGCTATTGGGTTTGTATTTTGATTTTGACCCAACCCACATGCTAAAAATTTGTATCTTGGCATATTCAGATACCAACTGTTAGATGCCATTTTGTTCCTAGGCTTATGCAAATATGAACTATTAGCTCACAAATTAATCTCACATCTCCAAGATGAGTGAAATGTGTTCAGATAAGTTGATTGGTTTTCATACTTTATGGCAGTCAGTTTAATGATGTCAATTCTTACTGGGAATTGGCTTTCTTTCCACAGTTATTGCTTTGGAAAGTGTAAAACAGAGGATTCAGAACCCTCCAGCTGACTGGAATGGTGATCCTTGTTTGCCCCGTCAGTACTCATGGACAGGCATTACATGCTCTTCTGGCCCTCGACCTCGTGTGGTCACTTTGTGAGTTGAAACTTGTTATAATCATTCATATTGCTAATCAAGTACCTCCTTTTCTTTTCCTTTTTTTTCTTCTGTCTCACCATGGCATATTCTAATATCTGTTTCCTCCTTCTTCCAGAAATCTGACGAGTATGGGCCTTTCAGGATCGTTATCACCTAGTTTTGCCAATATGACCGCATTGTCTAATATGTAGGTTTCTGAAAACTTAACTGTCTATTTAAATTGACAGAAAGAAAAAAAGTATTTGTTGAATGCCTGATTGATGATTTCATTCTTTCAACAGCTGGCTTGGGAAGAACAATTTTTCAGGGCCTATTCCTGATCTCAGTTCATTGAAGAGACTGGAGAAACTGTAAGTTGTGGCAATTTACTTTCCCCCCAGATTTTATTTTTGAACTTACAATGAAACACATGATAGCATATGGAACTATTAGCACATCTGCCACTATAAATGGAATCATAGATGTCAATGACCTCAATCTATAACAAATATTACTTGGGGTTTGACAGAATGACTAATATTTTGGGGGTTTCTTATGTGCTACTTTGTCATTGCATTGATTGTCACATCTAAATATTCGGAACCTGAGTCTCCTTTTACCTTGACCTGTTGCCTGAAGTATGTTCTTTCTCTGATCCAATTTTTGTTCATTTTTTCCTCATTTAAGGCACTTGGAAGACAATCATTTTAGTGGAGATATCCCCTCATCGCTCGGGAACATTGATAGCTTGCATGAACTGTAAGTATCAAACTATCAAAGTTGTTTCTTTGTTGGTTCTTGGTATTAATTTGAGATTTTTACTTGCATTTTCTACAATGTCTCTTTGTATAGAAATTGAATGAGAAAAAAATTGGTTTATTATTTTATTATTAGGTTAAGCTCAAACAAATGTACTGTTTGATTATAGAATTGTTAGCATTGTAATTTACTGGTGCTAAAAGTTAGTTTAGTTGTAATTGCTTTGAGAACTTTATGATGTAAAGTTCCTTTGGTTGAAAATAACTTACGGTTTAAGCCCAGTATCTGCGACCTCCCCATTCTCCTATTGTTGGAAACACCTACTTCTCAAGGCATATTAGAATCAGAATTGCTTCAACTAAAATCTGCATGTTCTGTCTGTTTTGTTGGTGGGAAGGACCTGCCATTAGAAGTGTTGCACGTACATTTATATCTATGTATAGGACTAGAATGTTATGGATGCTTATTGTTACTGGTTTCAGATGTAGATATTTATCCGAATTGATACATTGTTTTCCATTTTTATTGAAGATATTCTAAATTATTATGTTTCTTGCTTATAATTGAGATTCTTTCCCAATTATTATGCTAACAATGCTGTTAGATGACAACACAGCTGGGCAAACTGTTTTTTCCTTTCTTTCTTTTTCTTTTTTTTTTCTTCTTTTGGGTTGGGGGTTCTTGCACATGTGGTGATTCTTCTCTTTGCTTGATGATTCTGAGTTTCTGACCTGTTCCCTTGTCTCTTTCAGCTTTTTACAAAACAATAATCTGACTGGTCAAGTTCCTACTAGCCTTACTGGAAAATCTGGGCTGGACCTAAGGTAGTTGAATGTCCACTAGTCTTCCCACTTAAACCTTATGAATTGCACTTTAAGCTGATTGTTTTGATTTTCATTTCAGGACTTCTGGAAATTCTTTGTCAGCACCTCCACCTTCTTGAACAGCTAGTATATGCATTCAAAGGTTGCTGTGGCTGCATTTTTTGTTTTTTGTTTTTTGGGAGAAACTTGATCCATACCTACATGAAGAGCTCTTAAACATTCGGATGGGAAATTTGCCCTTGCCAGCTCTTTGATCCCAGAGTCGAAAGTTATCGTGCTCAGCTCTCTTTAGTTTTGATAGGATTCAAGGTCTTCAATGAAACTTAAGTCTACAGTTTTATGCCCGATTGTTCATGTACAGTCATTTTGATTTGCAGGTTTCTTGGTATAATTGGTTACTGCTCATAAGTTGTTCATATTAATTTTCCTTATTCTTTAATACAGGGTTTTTTTTTCTCTTTCAAATGTACACCCTGAATTCAGACCAAAAGAAAAAATGTACACAATGAATATGTTGGTTTGTTATATTTTTGTAAAGTGATTGGTGTTGTTTTTTCATGTCTTCGTCCCTTGACTTTCTCATCTACCAACAATAATTCAATACTGTCTTTAAGCAGAAAAACTTATATGAAACGGGATAGCTATCCCCGCCCAATCACGCTATGTCAAGTGAAAAAGTTATCACGCATGGCATAGCATGAATGGTCGGGAATAGCAAAACAGTGATATACCCATTTTCCCAAGTGTTTCTCGGGTTTAAGGTCAAAAATCAGATTCCTGTTGCTGCCATGCCTCGCATGTTGGACCCACTGAGTCACAGATTTGCATCTGCATGTTGCATGACTTCTCACTTTCTAGTTGCTTATTTAGGAGAGCCAGTTGGCAGAAAACTGTATGTACTTTTAGGCAATACAAGAAGTACCAAGTAATTAAACAAATTTTGTTAATATTGAGCCACAAACTAGAAAGTTAGCATTTACATTATGATTTTTCAGATCCACCATAATCAACACTCTAAACATGAGACAAATCTTAAATGAAACCCAGAAAGAAGAACAAAAAAAATTGAGAAGGCAATGAACATATTGGACAATGCTGCAGATCAAACCAACCTCTTCTTTCTACCAAATTCCTAAATGCTCTCACCTCTCTAGCCTTCCTTTCCTGAGAGGAAACAAAGGTGGCAAGGAAGTGCTCTTCACCTGTGTGCAAATTGGCACATTGATCATTGGCCTTATTCTTATACTGGCTGATCTTGTTCTCTCCAACCCTTTCTTTATCCTCTTCATGTACTTCTCTTTGTTCCCCATCCCCTCCTTCTCTTGATCTGCTGTTGCTGCATCAGCAAATGAGCTCGAAGAAGACGTCGAAGAGGAGGAAGAAGAAGATGGGGACAACGATGAAGCGCGCTGCTTCTTCAGCTTCAGCAACTCTTTCCATAAAACGGTGCACTTAGGTGGCCTTGGAGAGGGGTCATCATCAACAAACCAACTCCCTCTGTTCTCCTCCTTGTTCACCCCTTCCTCATTCTCATCTCCCTCAACATCTTTGGTTTTGAGGCTAAGCTTGCTGAGCCTCTCAGCATGCTGCTTTTGCCAAAAGGGAAGGAGCTTCCCTTCAAAAAAAAGCTCATCTGCAGATAACATGGTATGGCTACTCACATTGCTTGAGAGAAACTCGAATTCCGGGTTACGTACCTTTTGATCACACTCCATTATAAGATCTTGCTCACCCTGATGGGCATTTGGGGTGATGGAGATGAAGTTATTTTCGTCGAGGAATTCGGCAGAGAACGAAATCCTGGGGCTGGAAGGTGTGTCCATGGATCTAGAGGTTGCCTGAACAATTTCTAGGGACACCATTTTGGTTGTGTTTTGGGCTGGTTGGTGGAGAGTGTTTTTGAGCAAATGCATGAGGGATGTGATTTATAAAGGGAAGGAGATGCTTTTTAATGTTTCAGTAATTTGTTAATCTCTGTGTTTTTGTTGTCGCTAGTTATCGTTTGGACGGTGAGATTATAAAAATTAGGTGGTCTGGTGAAGGCGAAACATGAGAGCTCAGGTGTTGTTTAGAATATAGAAGCAGCACATGGACAACTTTATCTTGGAAACTCAAAGACAAAAAGCTTTTTTTACCTTTAGTTTCTCATACAATTTTTCTTCGAAAATCCCAAATATCATTGGAAAAGGTACAAAGTAATCCTGGAAAAGGGAATTTTTCTTTTTGGTCAAAAACCTGGAAAATGATTTAACCCATGCTATTATTGATTATTATTTAATATAAAAAAAGAATATAGAAAGTGAAACATTATATTGACTCAAAAAAAAAAACATATCATATATTTGATAATTTCTTTCCAATATAATTAACTCTACATTTATTACAGTGTATCCGATAATTCAATATTGGGATAGGGAAAAATTGAATCTGGGACTTCAGGTGCAAGGTTAAATGTTCTTAATCAATTAAAGCTACAAGTCTCACGCGGGATAATCTTAAATCTGGGCAAGTTGGGTTGTCTTGGATAGACATTTGGAGAGAAATTGGTAAAGTTTGGTTACTTAAATAGAATATAATCTTAAAGCCCTTCATGCTTGCCTTCTTTTCTTTTCTAGCTAGATATAGGGTAGGGTAAATCCTGAACTTTTCAAGATACATGCAATATTTTGGCAGGGATCTTCTGCTTTTCAAATTAAGAAAGGAAACTTTGGTTTATGGAGTTTTAAATTAGGATTATCTCTGAGCTTAGTGGCAATTGATCTAATTGAGTTTGGATTAGTCAAAGAGAGAGGAGCTTTGTTAGTTTGACTCCCCTGCTTACAGGGGGATATAACATGGTAGGGGTCCCAAGCATGTGGTCACATGAGAGTTATTTTCTGCCATGTGATCTCTGAATCAAAGATATATTTTTCTTGATGACCAAAATACCCTTTGATGGGCTCTGACTGTTTCTGGTATTTGATGTAAATTCTCCCATCCTGGGTGTGTGTTCTTGTCATCTGGAAGGGTTTTTCAAGTGGTAGATATCATGTTCGTGGCTTAAAAAGCTTCCATTAAGATTTGGGCAGTTGTAATTAAATCAAGACAGCTAATCAACATTGGAGGTAAATCTTGTGATTATTAAATATAGTTATTCGCTGTGATCATTTAAGCAAAAGCACGTAAACCAGAGAGCGTTCTGTGGTCCTCCTCTGTCCTCTCTTCTATAATTATTTCTTGTTTGTTGTGTCTTTGTTCTGCGACGACTGAGGGAGACAATAATGTGTCAAAGTGTTTGTTTACTTGCTAGTCTAATAAAAAAAATTAACAGTGATGAATTGATGCACCATTTCATAAAAACTCACACGTATGCGGTTGATTATCAGAAGAATACATACGATCGGTTTGGTGCAGACTTTCTCCGTAATTAGGTTAAAATGTTATGTGTCTTGTATATGTTGTTCACGTGATAAAGTGATCGTAAAATGAATCGTACATCACGAGCAAGAAAGGAGCATTTAGCTTGTGGAAGTGAAGGCTAGTAGGCAAGGCACTATATATCTACAGAATAAAACTGGCTACAGAGTTATGACAGACAATGATCCGTAAAGGGTTAAGAGACAAGAACATATACATAATAATAGTGCATTCCTATCTGTCAAAGGACGTGACCAATTCGATCTTGTTAGTTTGGAGAAATATTGGGACCACAAGCTTCGGTGTTCTAGGCAATTATAATTATGAAAGAAGAGGGATTTTAAATGCAAACCAATAAATAAAAACTGCAAAGGCAAAGCAAAGTGGCTGGCTAAAGACTGTACAAGACAAGAGTTGGGGGGACCATTAATTAGCATTGACCATTTTATTAAATTACAGAGGAGTTTACTCTGGTTTCATGTAAAGACTAGCTGTTAGTACATTAAACAGAGGAGACCAAATATTAATTACACATTATTTATTTTGTACTCTATCATTCAGATTTAGCACTCTCTACTCTCTAGTGTGTGTGTATAAAAGAGAGAGAGAGAGAGAGAGAGAGAGAGAGAGAGAGAGAATTCAGGCCAGACAGTATAATAGATTAGGTGGATTATATTAAAATTGAATCATCTGGGTAAGTGATTGGTTAGTTAGGCATTCAGAGAAAGAAAAAAATATTTAAGCAATAAATGGATTTTCTATATTCCCTCTGGTTAGTCGAAATTGTGAGCAACAATTAGGATTTGGATCCGTTCAAGGTTCGATTCCCTTTAATGTATAAGATTACAAAATGATATTTTAACTACTTTAATGTACAAGAAAGGGAATCAAACTCGGGTGCAAAAGGACAGACACACTACCTAGTGTTATAATAGGATTATAGGAGGACGCCAATAGTATCTAGCAGAGTGGAAAAGAGCCTTGACTTGTAGACCAATTGTCTCTTGTTTGAACCTCCATGGTACCATGGTAGTGTGTGTGAGAGAAAGAAGCTCTCATTTCCTTGTAGTTTAGACAATCGCTTGTATTAAAAAATAAGATTATAAAAGGGCAGAAAATGAGGGCTAATGAAAAAGTGGGTGGACTTCAATGTGGCATCCACAGCTTGCTGTTGGCAAGGCCCCATGCACAAGGCTAACTTTATAAATGCATTGCTATCAAAAAGCCCCATTTCTACAATATCAGCAGCCATGGACTGGGTGGCCCAGAGACAGACATAATTGTATTGTAATAATTTCCAACTCTGCCTCACCCAGAGTTTGAATAACGTAGCTTCGCATTGGGCCTTGCCCTTGAAGTATAAATAAACCATAAATATATATAAATGAATGAGGCTTTTACGCTACATAAACATAACAGAACCAGCTGCAATTAGGTATGGAATAAATTCACCACAAATTGTGAAGAAGACAACTACAACTAGACGAAAAATTAATTGGTAGTTACCAGGTGAACATAAATTTTGGCAACGAAGAACATGAGCATTATCATCGGGCCGTGAATGCGGGATTGTTTTGAGGAGTGTTAATTAAATCTCTGCGGTCTTTCTGACGAAACTACTCTATTATACTTTATGTCTGCTACTAAATGCTCAGCCCTAATAATACTACTTAAATTTCTAAATGCCAATTGTTAAAGCTACACAAAAGTTTCACTCTGACACTTTCAAATAAATTGAATTAATTAAAGAAAGCTAAGACTGGGTTTGGTACCATGTTACAAAACGTGTTGAGCGTGTTTGTCTCAAATTGAAAAGTTAAGGGTCCTAGTCTAGGTTTATAAGGAGTTAGACTACACCCTCCATTGCCAGTTGGTTTTGGAGTGAAACCTCAACTTCCTTCAATACGTGTACGGTTTTAGAGCCTTTTTCATCTTTCGATGGAATACTCTCGACCAAAATAATATAAGAGGCAACGCCTCCCTTAATTAATAAATACATAAATTATGTTTGCATGCAGTCTCATAGATGGGCAAGCCAAATGATCAAACAAACACAAAAGCTAGGACAAATTTGTGTCTTCTGCTTCTACTTTTAGTGGTCGAATACCGATTTCTAGCTACCACTGTTTGTTCGTGGATGTCGCAATGTGATTATGTTGGGTAAAGTAAACGAATTATTAATCATAAACCAAACGGGCCGCAAACATTTAAAAACACCTCAAGCATCTAATCTAATCTAACTGTAGCTAGCAAACATTTCAACTACTCAACCATACAAGAGGGCAACGTGTTGAGGGAGAGGAGCAAAATCATGCCAAGCTGCCCCTTGTGCTTAGCTTTATATGATCATGATCAGAGACTAGACTTGTTCAGACAAACCATTGTCTAATTAGTTCAAGTATCTTATCATTACAAGTTACAACTAAGGGTAAGTGAGACAAAGAACTATACGTAGTTGGTATGTTTCTGTGGTTGTCATTCGCTCATTCCTCACCGCCCCCCCCTCCCTCCAAACCAACTTCCGGCCACCACCACAATTTATTTATTTTTCTTTCTATTTTTAATCTCGTTTTCAACAAGATTGATTGCTTTATGGTTCAAGATCGTCATTTTAGAAATTAGATTTCAGGTTTTGAGTCTTGAATTTTGAACAGCCCAAAATTTAAGAATTAAAATTTAAAATCAAAACGATGAATTGCGTCGTTAATTTTCTCATCTTGCAAATTATTCACTGATTTCCAAAAGTATTACATGAGAACTCCAACCATAAGGCCCCGTTTGGTTCAGAGAAAGGAGGCTTGGGGATTGGAAATCGATTACTTTTCCATGTTTGGTAAGTTCAGGCATGGAAAATGGTTGCCTTGCACATGAGAAAGTAGAGGGGAAGTGAAGCTCTCCTCCCTCCTTGGATTTTGTTTTCCTCATAATGGGAAAGTTTGGGAAAATAAGTTAATATTAAATGCACTTTTTTTCATAACAATTTTGTCCTCATTAATAATTTATAATTACAATATAGCATTAACCGCGAACTAAACGGACCTAAGAGCATCCACAATGGGGGGGTGTATATAGGGGTGTATGTTAAATATACACCCCGAGTCATCGAAATCGTCTCCAATGGTGAGATGTAAATGGATGTAAATATACATCACCACCATGGGGATGTAAAATAAAATGTATATTTAGTGTATATAGGGGTGTATGTTAAATATACACCCCGAGTCATCGGAATCGTCTCCAATGGTGAGATGTAAATGGATGTAAATATACATCACCACCATGGGGATGTAAAATAAAATGTATATTTACATCTATTTTTACATCCTTGCAGGCGGGACCCACCCGAGAAAAGAGAAGAAAAATGAAGAAAAGTCAACATAAAAGGCTGGGACCCACGGCTACACCCCCGAATTTACACCCCCCACTGAAGCAAAAAACATATTTACACCCCCCCGGAGGTGTAAAGGGGATGTAAAAGTGGCTTTACACCCCCGAATTTACACTCTCCCACTGTGGATGCTCTAAGAGTAATCTTGCCAATTGTTTTTAGCAAAAGAGCAATGTTTACAAGATAGTCAGTTCGTTATCTTGATAGCAATGAACCCAAGTTTGATCAAATCGATCAATATCAATCGATTCAGTGGATATTAATTTTTCTTCTGACTTGATTGAAAATCAACTTCGATCGTTT